TAAAAGGTTTTTTTTTTCCCAGACGTTAATAACAACATCAATAAGTACATCAATAAATTTAACGTCGAATTAATAATAATGATAAATACATAAAAAAAGAAAACCTTTACTTCATCGTCGTACATAACTCAACAGTTTTTTATGTAACAAAATTTGTGCAATAGCCCAAACGCGTAAATGCGGATATGTTAATAATATAAGATAATAATAATAATAAGATTGTAAACCGCATTTACGTTGTACATAATACAATTATTTATTTCGTTTTTATATTTTTACGTTTTTTTTTCTTTTTTTTTATTATTATTTATTTTAAGAAAAAAAAATATTTAAATAATAATTAAAAAAAAAAAGGAAAAAAAAATAATTAATTTTTAAGTTTATTAACAATAGCCCAAATTGCATTCGTACGTAACCATTAATAATAATAATGATGATGATAATTGTAAAAGGAAACAAAAATTTTTGTTACGGATTCGATTATATATCGAACGTATTTATCGATTATAAATCGATCATTATATATGTATCGTCGATAAAATTTAAATTCCGTAACGAAATTTGTTATTAATGATGATAATAATGATGAAAACGTTACACGAATGCAACATGTACATATAATACATAAGAAAAACTATGTTAGAAATGTATTGATTCGTAATTATATTAAGTAAGAATGATTCAATAAATAAATAAATAAATAAATTACTACAACATTATTATTATTATTATTATTTATCTATTTGATGATGATGATAATAATAATAATAAGTAATTATAATATCGAGCGATCATTTATATCGCGATCGATTATTTAATAAAAAAAAAAAAAAATCCCGAATATGACAGTTAATACTACTACAATTATTATTATTAAAAAAATGAGGCGAAAAAAAATTGATGATTATTATTATTATTTATGTATTTATTTATTTATTTATTTATTTTCATTTCGATTTGTGTCGCCAAATTGAAATTTTCTGAAGCCAGTGATGATATTAAAAAAATCAAATCAAAATAAGCAGATGATAAAAAAAAAAGGAATGAATTTTTTCATTCAAACCTTTTTTTTTTTTTAAATAATTTGAAGGTTCGATAAAATTAACAAACAACCTTTCGTGTCCTTAATCCGAAAGAAACCTTCGTGATAAAATCATTTCTTTCAAGAGATGATAGGATATAACCTTTTTTTTTTTTTTTTCGAAAAAGGTTTAACGAATTATTTCACGCGTAATTTTTGGACACCTCATCATCGATTGTCGTGGCCAAAATTGCCCGCCAAAATTTTCAAAAAAAAAAAAAAAAGTCTACATTACATAATAATTTTATTTATTTATTTATTTTTTATTTATTTTTTTTTTTTTAAAAAAATTTAAAATCATTTCATATGATGATAATTAATGTGAATTTTTTGGAATCAATTTTTTTTTGTTATGTTAATTATTATTATTATTATTATTTGTTAAAAATTTTGTTTTTTTTTAAACAATTTTTTTTTGTATTTTAAACAAAAAATAATTATTTATTTATTTATGTTTGTTCTTTTTTCTTCTTTTTTCTTCTTTTTTAAATTATTTGTTGTTTCTTTTTTTTTTTTAA